TTTTTTTTTATGTAATAACAATTATGCATAAATATTCAAACACCAATGTATAAAAACAACAAAAAAAAAAAAATAACAACAGCACCAAAACAAAAATAGAATAAAATAAATTTAAAAAAAAATTATATTAATAAGTATGTGCCGATTTGTCTAGACGTTTTTTCCATGACCATTTTTGATAGGGATTCGATGCATCACATGTTGTCATCTGAATAGCTCTATGATTTGTTTCTGATAATCCGATACAATAACCTGACATATGTCGTATCATATTATTCTTAAAAATAAAATGAAATAAATCAAAATAATCTACATAAACTTTCAACATACTTCATAAAACCACATTTGATTTCCTTTCATTGAATGACATGATAGAGTAACAATTGTATTGGGTACATGTAAGTTTCCTCCTGCATAATCTAAACATTTTTCTTCATGACGTATTTCATTATTTTTTGAGAAAAGAAAATATTGATTGCCACCTTGTCCATGACATGGATAACCAATAATTGGTCTATCTATATGTCCAACTGTTTGTGAATCAATACATACATTTATTTTACCTAGATTTCGAAGCTTGAAAAACAAATTATATATTTAATTCTATGGAATGAAAATAATCAAATCTAACCTCGCCATAATATAAACTTTCTCCTGGAATAAACTGTTCAGGAAAAATATTATCAAGAAACCATTTGAATGGTTTACATTGAAGACGTTCACGAATTTTTAATCGATCAGACACATCACCATAATCACCCTTAACAAACAAAATAATAAGCAATTCAAATTTCTATTATTATATAAACTATTCTTACAAGCTGATAATTAATTCGTTCATAGTAATAACTCTATACGAAAAAATAAACAAAGTAAATAAATCTATAGAAGATTCTTTTTTTTTTGAATTTATTACTTTATAATCATCAAGCCATACTTCAGCAAGACGAACGCTATTTTTTCTAACAACATTAATGTCTTTAGGCCAACTATATGGTGAACGTCTTCGAAAAACATGACCAACATGTGAACATGGAGCACATAACAATTCACCACCACATTGCCAAAGCTAAATTACATGATATATTTACAAAAAAAAAAGACAATTTTTTTTTCACAATAGACCTTAAAAGACAGTTCAAGATTTTCACCACCCCAAATATCCATGCCCGGATCATACATTCCTAATTCTTCAAACCAATCTCGATCTATAGCAAATAAACCACCAGCCATTGTTGGAGTTCTGATAAATATTAAAAAAAAA